CTAATCAGTTTTCAGATAATTACACCACAAAATCACATAAATTAAGATGATCATAAAACGTCAATCAATTTTAGATTCGGCCGCCGAAAAGGCCTTCAATTTGCAGTTTAAAGCATAAAACATAAACAGATAATCAAATAGGCAACAGATAGATAATGCATTTAAACAGATACAATCAATCAATCAGTTTCAGATTTCAGTCAGTCAGTTCAGTATTTCAATCAGTTCAATTACTTTTCATAATCAGTCTCAGTTTAGCAGAAATCGGTAGTTTATCGGTAAGCAGTGATGAGGGTTATTACACTAAGTTATGGTTTTGGATGGCTAGGAGGTCATACTTAATTTACCAAAATGGTCACCAATCTTGATCGGGACCAACATAAATGTCTTCCAAAGTCAAGTCTTTACCCTAGGTGGTTCTATTTAAGACATTTTGGTCTTCTTGTGTCACTTGGACATCCTTCTTATTTATGACTTGAGTTCATCATTCCTTGACTCTTTAATCCCTCTTTGAAATTGTCAAGTGCTTGAGGCTTGTATGAGTTTTCCCTTTCCAAACCCTTCTATGAATATTGGATTATTGTTCACCCTTGCTACAATATGAGTCATGAAATTGCCAAACCCTATTGTTCTAGACTTTAACTGTTTTTTCATGTTATAGATTGAAAGTTAGCACTCTGATTAGAAAGCATAAAATGAGATCAACATATTTAAATAAAAAAGGGACAAAATTCATTTTACCTCCCCGTGGTTTGGTCCAATAGCATAGCCCTGTCGTTTGAAAATAGCCAATTAACCCTCATGTGATTTTGGACTAAATTGCTCCCGTTACATTTTCTGTCTAAAACTAATATAAATTACACTATACATGCATTTTGAGAGAGTTAGGAAGAAAGATAATTAAATAAAGTCAACTTTTTAAGGTAAAAAGACAAAATCGCCCCTTTCACCATCTTTTCCAAAAAAAAAAAAAACCTAAACCTAAACCTACCATCACCTCCTCCACCATGCCAGCCACCCCTTCCTTACTCTCCCACCTCCCAGCCACCCCCACTCCCCCTCACTTTTCCCTGCCATTCTCCCCACCTTCTAGATACCACCTACCTCCCTGCCACTCAGCCACCATTTCCCTCCTCTCAACCACTGTACAAACTCCCCTGTCACTGCAATGCAATTGGCAGAATTTACGATTCCAGCAAACCGAACGACAAAACTCATTCTTAACTTATTAAATAGTTCATATATATATATGCACTATATATACACAGAAACTTGGGTAATATGTAATCTTGTTTTGTGATGAAGAAATAATATGATATCGAGTTTGATTTCGGTCCCTTTTTTTTTAAATCATAATGACAAATCTCAGCATTTGTTTGAGATTCACCAACCCTTCCATGCTTCTACAGTTCTTCTATTGTTTAGCCATTTGTTTATTATGTTTCTTTTTTTGTATACACTTTCAAATTTTTTTTTCAAACTCTGTTTTGCCTGCTAATGGTAATATATATATATATATATATATGTATATGAATATATTACAACTTAAGATGTGATTAAATTAGTAATTAGGTTACAAATTTAGAAATTAAGTTAGAAGTTAAAAAAAATCAAGTTTCTTAATTGAGGCAAGTTTGATTTATTTAATTATTTATTTATTTATTTTTACATTTATTCTTACACAAATAATGAGAAGTAGAGGAAGAAAACAAGGGTATAATTGTCTTTTTATCGCTAAAGTTAACAGTTAGTATTGCAATTTAATCCACAACCACATGGGTGGCTTGTGGCTATTTTTAAAAGATAAGGGGTAAAGTGCTACGGGGACCATACCATAGGGTGGTAAATGAATTTTGCCAAAAAAAAAAAAAATTTTTTGGACCATTGATTTAAAAGAATGCCAACACAGTTCTTGTCTATTTTTTTTTTGGCTGATGCAAGTCTGGAAGCAAAAGCATATGCATTTTGTCTTTTGTACTCGGTGAATATTGAAAAAGGAGTTGTTCTGTTATAAGAATACAAGTAACAAATTGCTTACCTTGGCTAATATTTGTTTTCTTGTATCATTCTTTATTCTTCTCTTTTGTCTTTTTCCTTTTCTTGGTTGGACTGATCAACTTGGTTCTATTTCATTTTCTCTATGAAGTTTTATGTTTCTAGATTACTTTGTTGATATAAGTGGTTTTTGTTTTTGTTTCTTTGTTCAGCTTCTCTGTTGGATGGCATGGCAAATACTGGGATGGTTGAACTTGGAGAAGTTCAGCTTACTACTTACCTTGCTGAGAAGACATTTACAGGGCAACCTTCCTTTCAAAATGGTAAATAGTTTATTAGATTTTTTAAATTTCAATTTTAGAATATTTACCAAGAAACTAAAAAAAACTAGGACTCTTTGCCCCTATACACCTCCAAAATAGTTCATTGATCAATCTTTGCGATTTTACAGCACAAAATCTCACCAAACAGATATTGATCTCCTATGCTATGGATCAAATATTTGCTCTCTTTCATATAATTTACATGAATTATATGCAACGTGAATGATTAAGCACTGCAAACTAAATTTTTAAAACGCTGCAAATGGAATCGCAAAAAGATAGGACTGCATCCTGACATAAATGAACTGCACAAAGAATATACCGAGTTAATTGTGCGGGCTTGGGATGTAGAAGTATTTTTAGGGCCGAATTTGGGATGGTTAGATTAGGGCCGAGGTTGGGCGGGCCTTAGGATAATGCATTTATTCTTACTATAAAGTGGAAGCCTGATCCAAACCAGTCAATGCCCACCCCTAGTAGACAGTAAATCTAGATTTTATGACTGAAATGATTGTCACTTGATTTTGTCCCTAGTAAGAACTTTCTATCACTTTTTGGAATCTAGTCATGCTTTCAATTGAATAAATTATTTTATATTTTCTTGTTTGCCATTTATATATCTTGTTTGATTATGCTTGTTAAAGAGTTGGGAGAACAACTATTATTGTTATAAACGCTTGACTTCTTCCCCTATTTTAACTTCATTTGATATGTGCAGGCTTGCCTTCAATCATTGCATTTCCCTCTGGATGTAACACTGCAAATTGTCTAATTTGATTTGTCATTATTATTGCACATTCTCATCATGTTTAATTTGCGAAGAATTACACTATAATGACAACTATGAAATTGTGTAAGGGGTAAATACGGTTGTAAGTCCGGTTAGGGGGTGTAGATGAATTTGATAAGTTGGCTTGAGTGTCCATGGTGAAAGACCAAAAAACCGCGCGGATAGGTGTCGAGCCTTCCGGTTAATACCGGTAAAAATGACAGTTTGGTAGTACTCGTAGAGTCTACTTGCAGACACCAACCTAGGGATTACCAGCGTCGTATTTACCACCCCTTTGTGATTAAAAAGTTGAAATCTGGAAATTTATGAGATTGTGATTGTAAATGAAATGCATAGTGTTTCTCAAGAAAAATATGGTTAATATCTTGATAGGAGTACTGCATTGCATGTGCACTTGCATTCAATTTTGGCTATCTAACATAAATGTATATACTTTGTTTGGTATTTCTCTACTGGGCTTTATGCTCACTCCTATGGGATTTGGTGCAGGTAAAGATGTTGTGATCCCTCCAAGCTAAGGGTGGGGATATGTTTTGGTGAAGAGTAGATCACTCTTTCTTTTGTTGAAATTTTTTTGTAAAGCCTAGGGCCAATTTGGTGTGGGTTCGAGAGACCATTTTGTGTAATCGGGCTATTGCCTTGGAAGAAGTAAGCCCGTAAGGGCATTTCATTTATTTTATTTTTATGTTGAAGACTGAATGTTTTACATACTATAGATTCAGGTGTTTTCTTATCATTGAATGTATATTTGCATGTGGAACCCTTACACAAATCTTGGATATTTTTGATATAGAGAATGGAAAATGGTTGTAATTGATGAATATACGTAGTTTGTGTATTATTTATGTTAGAATTATTTCGGGACGTGACAACTTGGTATCAGAGCTACCGGGTTTGAATACTTGGGGCTCACGGGAAATGGTTGCTATACCACAATGGGTTCATTTCGCATGATTAGGAAATGTTTTGTCTATGTGATTATGTGACAGCATGTCTATGTGACTATGTGGGTATGGGATTAGACTTTTGGGATGTTATTTGCGCCTATTAGATTCCTTGAGGTCTTCTTAGAAGGGTACCTGATCAATACTCATTCTACTAAGAATTCTTGGTTTCTCATGGGATGAATCTCATCGCTAAAGGATAATTCGTATGTGTTTATGTGACTACGTGCTTATGTGGAGTGAATTGAATTGTTTATGTGTTAGAGTGTATATAATTGTATTAGTTTAACGTGCGGAGCAAGTTATGAGCACATTTGGAATGATGTGCTAAATTGTTTACCTTGATTCTCAATTAGGATGTCAGAAAGGATTCGAACACGAGGTGGTAGGGGTGGAAAACGAGGTCGAGGTCGCCGGGGTGTACATGAGATACCGGTCCATGAGGTTCCGATACAAGAAGAGGGTTTAGGCCAAGCTAACATGGCCGAACAAGTTGGGCAAGCGGAGGTGCCAGGGTAAGCCGGCCAAGCCATAATGGGGGCTCTAGCCCGGGAAATGGTGGGCGCATTGAGGGAGTCCATGAACATTTTGAGGGCAAAGACCCAAGCTAGGGAGAATGTTACGAAGACAAGGGCGAGCTTCCTCATGAGGGAGTTCTTGCGGGCCAAGCCGGATGAATTCCATGGCGGCCCCGAGCCAAAGAAGGCAGACAAATGGCTAGAACACACGGTAAAGACTTTTGAGATGCTCCATATAGAAGATAGTGAATTGAGGGTGACTCTTGCAAGTTACTACCTCAAAGGGGATGCAGGGCAATGGTGGAAGTACGCCAAGGGTCGAATAGTAGCAACATGAGAGGCATTTGTGGTAGCCTTCCAAGGCAAGTACCTACCTCCCACTACTAGGGAGAGGTTGAGGCCAGAGTTCAAGGACCTTAAGCAACTTAACATGTCTGTGGCCGAATTTGAAGCGGCCTTTTCTAGTTTGTCCCGGTTTGCACTGGAATTGGTAGCGACGGAAGAGCATCGTTGTTATGAGTTTGAGCAGAGGTTGAGGAAGATTTTGTTCAAGGTTGCCGGGAACATGATTCAAGATTATGATCGCCTTGTGGAGGCAGCCGCACATGTGGAAATTATTGTGGAGGCCGAGGAGGAGAGACTTCGGAATTCGAGGTCTAGGGGCCAGGGGTCACAGGGGGACTTTAGGCCTAACAAGAGGAGTAAGAGTACTTTTTCATCCCAGTCTCAGTCGCAACAGTCTAGATCCACTTTTCCATTGCCTAGTGCGGGCCCAAAGAAGAGTGCACCGAGTAGGTTTTCTTGCTTCAAGTGTGGCCAACCGAGTCATAAGGCCTTTGCTTGTCCACAGAAGGGAGGAGGACAACAGGTGTTGCCACCACCACCGCCTAACCGATCTCAGAGTCAATCTCAGAGTAGGGGTCAGGGGCCTATTTGGTACCAGTGCGGTCAGTTAGGGAACATGAAGAGAGCTTGCCCTCAGTTGGGAGGCGTGTCTAGCGCATCGGGGTCAAGGCAGACTCAGAGTCACCAGCAGACTCATTCAGTTCAGACTTCGAGAGTTCATCAGGGAGCCACCTCGGCTCAGTCAGTGCAACGGGCCTATGCTCCGAGAGATGAGCAGGTCGAGCAGAGGCCACAGGGGCCCGTGTATACAGTTACCACGCCAGAGCAGTTGCCGCGATCCTCGGTAGTGAGAGGTATGTTTATTGTGTGTAATTTTTGGCCAATGTGTTGATAGATATGGGTGCGTCTCATTCATTCATATCTGCTGCATTTGTATCTGCATTGGGGCTAGAGGTGATTCAATTAGCATCTCCACTCAGAGTAGAGTCTCCAGTTGGGGGTGCAGCTGAACTAGATCGAGGTTGTCATGGTTGTGAGATAGAGGTTGCTGAGCGTAGACTCCCGTTTTCTTTTGTGTTGATAGACATGTCAAGTTTTGACGTCATCCTAGGCATGGATTGGTTGTCTTCGTATTGGGCAGTGATAGACTGCTTTCGTCAGAAGGTTACCGTGTGCACCTCGAGTGGTGATTGTTTTTACTTTCTAGGAGACCGAGTTGATAGGGTCTTGTCACCAATATTCGATTCTCATGGTAGGAATGAGCTTAGTGGTGTTCTTGTTACTTTTTTGGATGATGAGAGTAGCGGGACTCGAGTTGAGTTGCCAAGGGTAGTTTATGAATACCCGGACGTAGGACCTTACTAGTTTGCCACCCCACTGGGAGATTGAGTTCACCATCGACTTAGTACCTGAAACGGCACCAATTTCTATGGCGCTGTATAGATTTGCACCCGCGGAGTTGCATGAGTTGAAGATCCAACTCCAAGAGCTTCTAGACAAGGGCTTCATTCGCCCTAGTACGTCACCTTGGGGTGCGCCAACTCTCTTTGCAAAGAAGAAGGATGGGTCGTTGCGATTGTGCATCGACTACCGTAAATTCAACCAAGTTACCATTAAGAACAAATACCCTTTACCCAAAATAGATGACTTGTTTGATCAACTTAGAGGGTCTTGTTGCTTCTCCAAGATAGATTTGAGGTCGGGGTACCATCAGTTGAGAGTCCGGGAGGAGGACATCCAGAAGACGACCTTTCGTACACGTTATGGCCACTATGAGTTCCTTGTAATGCCATTTGGGTAATTGTTGATCAATTAACTAAGTCCACACCCTTCATTTCGATGCGAACTAGCGACTCAGTTGAACATTTGGCAGAGTTGTATGTCAGGGAGATAGTTCGGCTTCATGGGGTTCCGGTAACCATTGTGTCGGATAGGGATCCTCATTTTACTGCCCGGTTGTGGCAAAGCTTTCATGAGGCATTGGGAAACAAATTGACTTTTAGCACCACTTACCACCCTCAAACTGATAGGCAGTCGGAGCGCACCATTCAAATCTTGGAGGACATGCTTAGAGCTTGTATCCTAGATTTTAAGGGGTCTTGGGAGAGGCACTTACCGTTGATTGAGTTCGCCTAAAACAATAGTTATCAGGCTAGCATCGAGATGGCACCGTTTGAGGCCTTGTATGGCCGACCTTGTAGA